AACCATACAAAATCCGACCGAATGAATTCCTTTTGAATACAACCATGCATTTAAAAATAAATATTTTAGTAAATACCTAAGGACACAATTATTGCAAAGTACTCGTTAAAGATTACTTACACACTAACCCCAACGTGACCTAGCCATTAAATATGGGTACAAAATTAGAGTAGTAACCAAAAGAAGGCATGAATAGACTGAACTTATCTATCACAGGAAAATTTCTCTTGTTTGGCAGTTACAGTGCAAAAAAATGCATGCAACGAACCAAGTACAAGTTTGGCAGGAACGAAAGACAACCATACCGAAACCGTCAAATGACAGAAGGTAACCTTCTATAAAAGGAATGAGGGGGGAGGAGCTGAAAGAGAGGCAAGCTCCCGTAGAGCTGCGGCTAGAAGTTCGGCATTCCCTGAGAAGTACGCCGCCAGGGCGCCTTGCAACTGCTCTAATTGCTTCGTCATCACTTTAACACGATTCTCCTCCAGCAATCGCAACTTCACCTGAAAACAAATTTAGAAAAACATTTCGATTCCGAAACTCCCTCAAAAACTGCATTTTCGTCTGCCAAATTTCGGAATTTGAAAAGGTCCTACAGATGATCGTTGGTCCTTCAACTCACGCGAACATCTGCCTTCAATCCTTCATATTTGTCACGATGTTGACTGGCTTTATCGCTAGCGACTTGAATAGCAGTTGGACTAGCCGTGGCTTGGCTATGTAACGATTCCAATTCATGACGGCTAACATCGAACTCGATCCGTGCCTTAAAAAACCCTTATGAGAGATTGGGTTAACACATGCGTACCGTAATGCGCTCAAGATAACGGCTAACATATAAAAGAAAACGTTTTATGTATTAGAATTTTTGAATGAGCGAAAACCGTTTCTATACATTCTTCAGAATCTTCAAACAAAACATGTATTATATTACCAGATTGGTCCCCCGGCAAGCGCCGGAACCTCCCTACCTTGCGTAAGCTTTCCCTTCTCCCTCCTCTCCTTACTCTCCCCTCGTTCCCCTCTGCTCGCCGGCTACCACAGCATCACCTTGTCGAATGACCGAAAGTGTGCTAAGTGCGTGTTTATATAGCCGTTGGGGATGCTATCACAATCATGCCATTGCAAAACACTAATAGCTAAAGTCCTGTGAGCTACATGATTCTGTTAGCGGTTTAGGCATAGTTCCTCTACTTACTTCATTTGCGAGACGACCACACATACTACGATACATAATAATACACACACGACACACGCACTACAGAGCATAAACCGCACACCCAAGAGTGGGACGCGCCGTTTTATCAACAGTAGAAAGGACAAGAGACAAATGGATTACCGATCGAAAAGCATATCATAATAAGAATTGCTTTAATAGCTCTTTCTATATCTCTTCAAGCTTTTTTACGCGTTCACGTCACCATACAAAAAGACGTCTTGCAAGAAGTCCAATTGTCGTTCTTTTTACTCTCTCGCGGAGGGCATTACTGGATTTCTGTTTACTGTCAGGCCGATAGAGTGTTAGGTGGCTCTTTCGGGTATCTGACAGCGCAAGCTCAGAAGTGGATCACTCATAAATCAGGCCGCGTGAAAAACAGAAAATGAGAAAAGAATGCTTCAGTGTTCAGAATACCAGAAATTACGCGAGCCAATGCGCGATTTCGTTCAACAACGACCGAACGAGTAACTGCGTTGGTTGAAATGAAAATTAATCTCCACTGCAAAAATTCGGGCTTTACCCAGCGAGGCCATCTGAGAAGAACCCAAAAACCTGCGCGGTACAGTACGTCTGGACTTCGTTGCAGGCTTTCTTGCCTATTATAATTTTTTGATAGGCGTTTTCTGACACGAACGGGCTACTTGTCGTCAACATGGACCCTCCTCTACCCCTTCCACTACCCATTTTACTCTTTCATGAACATCATTTTTTATCGCAAACTTAATCTATGTCCACATTCAGCAATGAGAAATAAAACTAGGAAAACGCATTACGTAGAACACGCAGAGGAAATTTTTCACGGACTTTCGCTGGTAATTTCAAAGCAATTACAGATGCACGGCCAGAAGAGACCAAGAACTCTTCTATCATTTGCTATGGTCTATTAAAACTCACCCCTTCAGTTGCATAGATTGTTTCCAATGTGTCGACAATGGTTTTTGCATGGAGGGTTTCCATTGAGGACAAAAAGTACCTCAAGCAACCGTCGAGTGCAGTGGCCTGCTCGGCGACACGTCGCATTGATTCGGAAGTTGTGGAGCATTGCGGCTGAAAAAAGTTCTAGCAATTCTCATGTGAATCCTTCAATTTATGATTTACAAAGAGCCTTATACGTACTACAAAATGTCTATAATCGATTTTCCTAGCCTTCCCGTAAGATGGTAATTAAATTAGTTGGTTCCCGCCAGTATTTAAACGGTAAAAAAGGAGAAAGTTCCAATCAACTTAGTAGTGAACAACCAGTTTTTAAAAAACACGAAGGAGCAAGCGCTACGAATTGTACTAGAAAAAACTAGTCAGAAAGGTTCTGGACAATCGAGTAACAAGTTGCGGCAGAATCGCCCTTTGTCGGTAAACGATCTTATAACAAAAATGGACATAACAGTAAAACGCAGTATACTACATTCCCATGTTGCTAAAGCCTGCAGTGATACGAAAATCGATGAGCTTACCTTAATAGCGACTTCTTTGATTGACAACTGTTGGAGACTTTCTGCAAGATTTTTCTCGGCTTGAGTCAGCTGAGTCAAAAGATTGGTGAATTCACGTGCAGCGTTGACCACAGCTCCATACCTTAAAGAGCGCTTGAATTGAACCAAAGACATATTGAAATTGTTGAAATCACCTTCTATGCAAATCCTTGAGCTCTTCGCATTCCTTCTCAAACTGTTCATCAACAGTTTTGTCAATCTAAAAATCTGATTTCAGGCGATAAGAGCAGAGTATTCGTCGCACAAAGGCTACCTTTCCCATATGCTCCAAGAGTTGTTGTCTTGAATTCTTGAATGTGCCAATCGTCCACTTTTTCAACGACTCAACCTTTGCAACCACGTCGACACTAAAATGGGCTTGATAGACTAGCGCTTCCGGTTACCCACATAGACAGTGGGTGGAACGAGTAATACAATTATGCACCAGTATGGCTCGAATAAAAAAGTCCAGAATTAACATATTTCACTTACGAACCACCAAATGAAATCAAAACTTTTCTAACGTTCCGACCATATTTTCTAGAAAATACACGAATAATAAAAGAGAAACGTGACAAAGCATTGAATTGAGATCACCCACTTTCCAACAGCTTCAGCCATTTTCGGTAAGTTTGGGAAACGACTCATGACATCGGTACCGTCCATATTACCCCCGTTTTCAGAACCTTAAAATTATTTCTTAACGCATTTGAATACAACAACGAAGGCATCAACATCGATGAAAATCAACTTAAAAATCCACCTGACTAGAAATGTTCATCTATCCAAGAACTAAGCCTTCATATTTCACAAAGTCCGGTAAGGAATGATAGCAGAACGCATAGCTAGTTTAATAGTTTGACGGGGCGTCTCATCATACTGACGCATAATTATATTCACTTTCCATGCGCTGCTGCGTGACTGTCACAGAAAATTTCACGGAATAATGCAGTAAAAGAAAAGCACGAAATTCAAAATGTCAACGCACTCCACTTTTTTGCCCTATGTTGGGAAAAAACAAGGGAGCACGAATTAGAATGTTTCCTGCGCACCTTCACTGAAAAAAAATAAAACTTCTATCGAGCTCCCCACCGCGGTTGTTCGTGTGTAACCATCATTCCTCGTATTGATACTTTGGTTAAAAAATGAGGGACTACTGGATGTTGTTGCAAAACTTTCTTCGGATTATTTACATATTTTTTCGCAAATCGATTTTAGATAACAATTGATGGTGTCAAAAATGTAACCACTGACGAAATCCATCCTCCTCCACTTAATTTTACTGGATTTGAATCTTTCCTACTGAAGAGAAATGAACAGAAGCTTTTCTCCTGAAAAATTAACCCTTCTTTCACGGACGGACCCTCCCCTTGAACTTGATTTTACTCGACCCCTAGCGCCGCAACATTCAATTCACTTGATACCCTGCGGAAAGATTTACGCAGTGTAATAAATCAGGAAGGGAACTTAAAAACCATTGAGCTATCAGAAAAGAGCACGCACACACGAACAAACCTGGAGAAGCAGTTGTACTTGGATCACACCGCACCGACGGTTGAAAAATGTTGGCTTCCGACATCATCTAAGTGAGAGCTGTAGTGATCAAGAAAATTTGGATAAAACCACTTCAAATGACAGTACATGCAACACAATGTTTAGAATGTCTGGGAATTATGACCCATTCTTCAGAAATACACAAATCCATAGGTTAAATAGAAATTTAATAAATTTATAAATATTAACAATTAGTATGTACAATGCGGCACCGCTACAAACAAAGCAACGATAAATTCCATTTTGCATATAAATTTAACCACATTTCGTACTATAAAAGGAGCAATATAGGGGCGTGCAAAACCTTGCGAAAAGAAAGAAAAACAATTTTGACAGCATTGATCTCAAAATACTGTGTGGTTATTCAACGACGAAAGCAATTTCATCACAGTCACAGTACAGAGATGGCGTGACGACGGATAGAAATGCGAGGACTAGTCAATTGAGTAAACCGGGACCTCTGTTTCGCCTTTAGGAAATGCTGCATTTACTGCCAGACTGCTCACTGATATTTCCTCGTGCAAGTTCGATCTGATGAAGCATCTTGTCAAAAATTTGTTGCACTGCCTGAAACATATTCAATTTCTCAAAGAAACAATGCCAAGGATAATTCAATGGTATATTTTTGTAAGGAGTAAAAAAGCGTTTCATAAAAGCTGCACTAAATTTTGAAGGTAGGAAATTTGCACCAGCAATGTGCGCAGTAAATTGTGGGGCCAAAAACAGGTTAGCTTAAAAACTAAACAAGTGTAAAATACAGGACAATGATGACGGTGTGAAACTAGGTCGTCACCTCTAGAAACGTAGAAAAGGAAGCCCAGCAATGTCTAGACTGTTCAACTGTGGGAAACGAAAGTGTATTTCTAACTATAAATTAGTTTAGTGACTTAAGGAATCGATTAAAACGAGACATACTAGAACTGAAAATTCTTAGAATGGTGGAGGCACTGTTCTATATTTTTCGAGACTCATAGAGAAGTAAAGCCCTCCAATCGAAAGAAAAAATCCCGCATACCGTGAAAGCATTTAATATAAAATATGTTGAGTAACTAAATGCAAGGGAGGCCTTTAGACAAATCAACTGATAAAAACGAAACAAAGTTGAAAAATCTGTTATGCTGACGAAGGGTTCCTGACAGCAAGCCCGTTTGGTAGAATCAGAGACAGCGAAACGAGTCGCAACCTGTGATGTGCGATATAGGACGTACAATGGTACATATTTAAGTTAATGCGAAATCACTTCAGCACGCGCTGCGACCCGTTCACTACTCTGCTTTGTTTTCATGCAACGGACCTCCTGTCGGGTACCTTATGATGAACAATATGTTCAGCCATATCTGCTCAAAATAATTGTCATAGGTAATGAAAAATTCGAAACGCTGCCTATGACAATAAATACAGGGGGACAAAAAAAAAGACATTTTGCCATGTCAGCACTTCACTTCCCTCACCGTCTTCAGAATATGACGTCATCTGTCACCGTCGTCAGGCTCAAGGAGGTCTACCGTAAGAGCTTCAGCCTGAAGCTCTTACGCAATTTCGTGAATCGATTTAATGTTGGATAGTTTTCTAGAGGCATTAGCTACCACTGTGCAAATCCCCTCGGAACTAGCTTTCCAGTAAGGGTCGTTATGGTACACGATCCTTCGAAGACCCCATTGAGATCGACCAGTGCACCATGTTTCCAGGGCAAATTCTTCTGATGCCGTCCACGTACGTGGCCACTATGAAGATTTTCTTATAGAATGGAATGCACTCTTTAATAATAAGTTGGAACCATTCGGTCTGAGTTGAGTAAAATGTGCTTAAATCCATCTGGAAGTGGAGGCAAAATGTCTTTTTTTTGGCCCCCCCCCCTGTATATGTACCGCCAGCAAACTTGCGCGCCAACAAGCGCTTGATGATCAAAAAAGTTTCTAGAAAAATCCTCACAGTATTATCCTTCGCTGATGTCTCAATAAAAGCAGCTCTCCATTTTTGAGCTAATTTTGAACCGTCTTCCTTAGTGACCATGCGCGACGCATGTTGCAAATCCAATTTATTTCCAACTATAACTATTGGCACCCTGGAAACAAACTTGTTAAAACTACAAAATTCGCTGGCTTATGAAGAGTGAAAAAATACTTGTTGTCTCCTACAGTCTCCATAATTTTATCGTGGATAACTTGTATGATTTCGAACCTGAAAGTACGAAGTAATCAAAACGAAGAAAATATCTACGTGAACACGCGATGAGAATAAAGACGAAAAACTGACGATTTTTTGTCGTCTATAGCATACACTAGAATAAAGCCATCAATATCAACAGAACAACTTCGCGGAAATATAGAGTACTCCTGTTGTCCAGCAGTGTCTGTAAGATCGTATCCTTCAAGGAAATGTCAAGGTACACATAAGTAATGGAGAAAAATTGGAAAGATTATAAGATGTGCAAGATATTTCCCAAGCGTGTATGAGAAGATATTCCACAACATAAGAGAGAAGAGGAGAACACAATTGTTTCCTTAAGCGTAAAGCATTTGTCGTTGATCAATCCCTTTTTGGAATGCGGCACGCATTCCACTTCCTTTGAATGCGACATGGCCTATACAATGACATGGAAGGCTTGGTTGGCCCGGGCGACTCACGACCCAGGATTTGATCCCTGAACCGCTCGCGTGGTAAGCGTGCCACTTGCCACTACACCACTTCCGCCCAACTATTCCCTTATCTCCAAAAAATAACAGCACTTTCTCTGCACCTTACAATGGAAATACAATTATACGTGACTCTTGTGCGAGCTGCAGCAAAGTCACCTACTGAGCGCTGTAGTCCACAAGGAACTTGTCCAAGAAAACACCTTTTTTAGAACAAAATATAAGTATCGTATTCGAGTAAAATGATAGTAAACACTGATGAATATGCTGCACAAGAACTTCTTCCAACGCACTTTCTTTCAAAAATTCTTGCGTAGCTCGTGCATGGTATAACAATAAACTCATTATATAAAACAATATCTGGATATGAACATTCAAAATAAAATGTGGATAAAACTGGAAAAAATGCAAAAGGATATCACAATTTCTCTTTGATATCCGTTGCTTAACGCTTCAACCAAATCTTAAAAAAAGAAATGTTGACTCAGCATAGGTTCTTCCTCTCAGTATAAGAACGCTAACGTAGAGCAAGTAATCGGGAAACCTTGTAAAGAAACCAAATTTGGCAAGTAAAACATCACACCTTCATCAAATTCACCCACTAATCAATTTTGTCTCAGTGACAACACCGTGAAATCTGCGGATAAAAAAACTACTGAATGACCTAACGTATTCGTGACATTAAAATACCAATGCGTAATCCCTGGAAAATTGGAATCAGCGGTGAAGAATTCTCACTAACGTTGCACCATAAAATCGAGGTGGGTTGCGCTTCTCAGCCCAAAAGCGCTCATTAACACGTCCAGTTTGCACTTTTCTTTTCTGCGCTGCAATCTAAAACGTCGACAAAATCAGGAATAGTCAGTGAGAGGTCTATTGGGTTTTTCTAAATAGCCACCAGGCTGTTTCGGAACCATTGTAATAAAAGGAATGACGTGAATTAGTTCGCACTTCTGCCTCACACGTAACTGTGCGCGTGACGCTGCCGACAAGAAAAAGTGGTTCGTCACTCACGTGACTGACCCGATCACATCTTCTTTGAGGTTTATAATGATAAATTAAGCAAATCAAGAACAAGAAGCATTGACAAAATTAACATACATCGCTAATCGCAGAAAGAAGCTTTAACAAAGAACAACTTTACCTGTGATTTTGAGGTTGTAATCTCGGCCAAGCCAACGATATGGTTTGTTATGAAGATCTTCTATAGTGGTATCATATGCATCCGGAAAATGTCCTTGTACGAATCGCAAGGTTATCGAAGATTTTCCTGAGAAAAGTAATAGAATAAATGTAATCAAATACAGTAAGGTCAACTCACCAACACATGGGTATCCCATTAAAGCGATCTTCCGCGTGATTATATTTTTAGAACCAGTCGCCATTGCAAAACTTGCTGAAATTTACATATAGTTAAAATTGAGACAAATATGGAAGAAAACATTCTTCAAAGGAAATAGTTTGGGCCAGCCAAGTGACAGAAAATTTGTTGGCCGACCCCATGCGAATGCCAGCGCGTGCGCTCGCGCAGCGGCTTCTATTGGAGCGCACCAGTGCTTCATTTCAAGACTGGGTAGGGTTGACTTTACACTTAAGTTATTGTCTGAAGGTCTAAATAGAGTATTTCTGAGTAACATCAGAGCAGATAAATGTTACCTTCCAACCTGCCGACTCATCTGATCGCGAGTTGATTCACATAAGGTGATAAACCAATCAGAGGGAAACGCATCAATATCGAATCGAATTAGCAATTCAAAAACTGGCTTTATCTCCGGAAACCTGAAACTTGTACAGCTACTGAACCATCAGACAGATATAGGAAATCCTTGAGAGATTGAAAAGATCCTACCTTGACGTCAACAGCTTTAAACAGCGAGTTTTCAGTGATCCTTCCTCTAATTGATTCATCATGTACAGTCAGAACGTCAATCCATTCGAAGGGTATCATCATCCTGTTAAATGATAAGAAAACAAGTAAGAATGAGCGGTAATTCAAATTTCCGAAGATTGTGACATAACATAAAACCAATTCATATCACTCAAAACGCAAACATTTTTATGAAACAAGATCTTATCTTGGCACATAATACAGATATGAATGATAGTGATTAGATAAACCTCTGATATCAGTTGAATTAACGGTCCAGGCCCAATTTGTCCACGGTCTGCTAATCCCTTTTCCGATAAAAGAGCCAAATCTGGCCTAGGAAAACCCCTTGGGAATTACGTTCTAGTACTGACAACCACTGCTTCATACATGTACTGGAACCAAGTTGATGAAGTCAGAACAACTGAGGAAATCTGGGCAAGAAGTTCTTCGAGGAGCCGACGATTTCGTAACGACCACAATCGAGCAGATGTGCTCCAAAGCTAGTCGCGTCGCAGCCGCACGCAAAAAGTCCGTAGAAACCTGGGACGGCAATGGTTTCGGGAATGCCGGATGGAGTGGAATCGATCGCAGGAACAAGCGCAAGATAGAATCAAGCGCTCGAAATCGTCGATCGCCAGATAAAAGCAACAAAGGATTTCTGGTGAGTGGATAAACGTGGCGAAGGGATGTGCCCGGGTAAGGGACTAGCGCTGTAATTACTCGATTTTCAAGGGATGTCCAGCCGCTTACTTTAAATGTGCGGCAGGTAATATAAGGCCTTCATAGAAGTTGGGACATTGCTTCAAGTGCCTTGTTTGGGGGCTTTTGCGCATACCGATGATGACGGGACGGAACAGAAGAGTCGCTAATAGGCTGCGTTTTACGATCCTATCGAGGCTTGGGCGAGTTTTTGCAGGCGGGGCCCCGTCAGAGATCCACCGGCGGTTTACGGATTCCTAAAGTGAGACCTCATCGAGCGTTTCTCATAAGGGGTCGTACATGGCTCTATGGACGGGAGGTCGCGTATTTGTAGGAATAGGTGTATTTGGGCACTCTACTCTTCCCAGTCTCCAGTCGGAGCGGGTATTTATCTTTCCGAGGTAAACGCCGTACCCCGCTGATGATCCTAGCCTAACGGCTGGGAGGAGACAGGGACTGATGCGACGTGATGTTGTAGTTACCCTCCACTGCTGAGGCACTTTCTTCTCTGAGGGGTGGCGCTGTCTGGGGCCTAGAAACGCAGAGTATGGTCCTAGGCAGGTCCACACGCAACCCTGTCTCCCCCAGCAGTAGGACAGAATCAGTGGCGGGGGACGTGAATCCCCATACCCAGTAAGGGTTGGATTCGGCCCCAGGGGATGAGGACCGCCGCTGATTCTATCCTTAGCTTGGGGGAGACAGGGTTTCATCATAGGACCCGCCATTGAACGCGTGATGTTCTCGCCACCTCCCCTGTTGAGGCACTCTTTTCTCTGAAGGGTCGCGCTGTCTGGAGTCTAGGAACGCAGAATATGCGTGGTGCATGACGCCAAACCCCTGTACTTCCCCGCATACGATCAGCGGCGTGGGATGCGCTCCTGTGGGGGAAAGAACGTACCCAGTGAGGGGAGGGCGGAGTACGACCTAAGTGGAAAGGTTTGGAAAGTACAAATTCTTTGTCAATCAGCAAGTTTGGTGCTAACTTAGTTGGGGGGGGGGGGCACGCGGCGGCGCGGCAGTCTGCTCACCTGGGCTCTCTCGAGCGAGACAGTGTAAACTCGAACATTCCAGCTTTTCACGCATGTCAAGTGACTGCCCCCACCCCCCACCCCCCTAGGCTGGCTACACTCCCCCTGGCCCACGGATTTCCGAACATGCCAGGCGAGCAGACTGCCGCGCCGCCGCGTGGCCCCCCCAACTAAGTTAGCACCACATTTTTG